GGCCGCAGCGAAGGGCGGCGAAGCCGCAGCGAAGGGCGGCGGGGCCGCAGCGAAGGGCGGTGAGGCCAAATCGACGGGCTGCGGGGCCGCTAGGGCGTTGGGGTCGCTAGGGCGGCTCGACGAAGTGAGAGCCCAGAGCGCGACTCGGGCTGAGCGCGCTTCGGGCAGGAAAAAAAAAAAAACTCGATGTGGTGGGCCCTAGGCACAGTTCCCACGATGGACCCTGCTTGATACCATGAGGAAATTAGAACGAGAATGAAATGACTATGGAATGAAAGTGATACAAATATGCAACCCTAGAAATGTGTACCCCATATGGGCTACCCCACTAAAGGCTAGACAACATTATATTTTGACATTGTAAGGAATTTTCTCGATATTCCTTAGCGCGCCCTGCGACATCGCGTACAGTAGCAGCCGTTGTTCGCCCGTTACTGCTAACGGGGCTTCGCCGACTTCGTGCGCACTGTTTTTCCAAACCTCGCACTGCTGGATCGGCCGTGTCGGCCTACGCTTCGGGACTAGCCCGAGCCTCGCTTCCAGCGTAGCACTAGCTAGCTCGCACGCACCGCGTTACCGTTTGTATGTTTCGCGTATAAATGTTCGCTCATGCAAAATGACCTCGCTTGAACACAATCCCAAGCGCCTGGCACTCCGATACAGCTCGCACCACAGACATCGCAACACGGAAGTGTGGGGCAACCTGCGAGCACGGGCAGTGATGGCGTCGTCCGCCACGACGGAGACGACGACCACGACACGACACACCCCGACGCGACGAATGCGGCCAGGAATCAGCCTCGAGTCACGATTTCCGTGCCGGCCGGCGAATCGACTCTACCGTCGCCGATGCCGCTGAAGCCGCAGCGTCCGCCATGTTTTGATCCGAGTCAACGAGGTGGTCCTACCGTTCAGGCGTGGCTCTTCACGTTGAATGTTTTCTTCGATGCGAACTACGTCTCATAGGATACGGCGAAGATTCGTTACGCCGTGTCGTTGCTGCGAGGACCCGCCATGGACTGGTGGCGTGTCATCGTCATGAAGCCGGTGGACTACGCGACTCTACCAACACGGGAAGGACAAACCGGACCCTGGGCGCCGTCGTATTTCGTGGAGGTGCCCCAGTATCGCACGTGGGACGCGTGGTGCGCAGGTCTGCGCGCTCGTTTCGAGCCAATTGCGGCCTCGATCGCGGCGCGACAGAAGCTCCGCACTTGGCGCCAACTCGGTTCCGTCTAAGACTACACGAGCGGATTTCTGGCGCTATGCGAGCAGGTGGGATTCATGCATGAGAGCGAGCGCATCAACCGCTACATCGGTGGCCTGAAGCAGGACATCGCTCAGGAAATCCAGCTTCGCAGCGTCACCGAGACCGAGAAATCCTCGCTATGGCGGAGAAACTTGATTTCTTCCGCCGACCGAGACCGGGGTCCTACGGAAGCAGCCATTGGGGACATCGGCCTCGTGGGACGAACGAGGGTGCCACGATACGTGCCGTCGTCGCAAATGCCGCTCCCGCATCATTCAAAGGGCACTGCTTTGCATGCAATCGGCCGGGACACCGTAAGAGCGAATGCCCGGAAAACGCTAAGGGAAAGGGGGAAGCTGAGCAGCAGAAACAGACGAAGCAGCAGGGACACGCTGGGAGTCAGTAGCAGACGCGCCCTCTACTGACATGTCACGCCGCTCGCCCGACCCAACTCACCCTCACCGAATGATTGTGCCGGTTCACGCAATCAACCACACCCGGCCGAATAAGGAGGGTACTACGATAGACAGCCCCATACTACTTAGTGGGAAAATTGGGACGGACTTAGGTAAAATCTTCGTAGACGGAGGGGCCAGCCACAGCCTTATTAACACTGCCACAGCACAGAAACTGCGACTGCCACTGGACAGATGCTTACTCGAGATCGACGCAAGACTGGTCGACGGCATGCCACTGGCGATACGGGAACGTGTGGACTGAGTTCGGATTCGATGCGGGGGTAACTACACGTTTAGCCAGGAAATGCTCGCAACGACCCTCGACGGAACCGACATTTTACTCGGCCGTGATTGGCTGCGACGACACAATCCGCAAATCGACTGGACGACGGGTGACTGCACTGTGCGAGTGAACGGTAACAACATCGCCTTACCTCGCTTGGACTCGCCCGAGTCTTCGTCTGTGCGTGTCAACGCGATCACGATGAAACGCGTCGTAGCGGCAGGAGCTAACGTGTACGCGATTGACATTCGGGAAGCCGAGGCAGCAGACAAAGGAGGGGATTTACAGAAACTGCTAGCCAACGTACCGAGTGAGTTGGCGGCACTGTTGAAACAGTACAGTGACATTTTTCCGGACGACCTACCGACGGGACTGCCACCTCAGCAACTGCACGACCACTGGATAGAACTAGAACCGGGGGCACAGCCGACAGTACAGCGACAGTTCCGACTGACCCAACCCGAACTGGACGAACTGAGGAAGCAGTTGGATTACCCGCTAGAGAACGAGTTCATTCGCCCCAATTCGTCGCCCTTCGCAGCACCGATACTGTTCACGCCGGAAAAAGACGGGGGATTTCGCATGTGCATAGATTATAGAGCACTGAACAGGGCTACCATCAAATCCCGTTACCCCATCCCGCGAGCCGACGAACTGATCGACCAAATGCGCACAGCCCGGGTTTTCTCGAAAATTGACCTTCGGGGAGGTTACCACCAGATTCGCGTCAACCCACCCGACTGCCCCAAGACAGCCTTCCGAACACGCTACAGTCTTTCGAATACACCATCATGCCCTTCGGACTAACCAACGCCTCTGCCACTTTTCAAATGACCATGAACGAAGCCTTCCGCCCGCTTTTAGATAAGTGCGTCATCGTGTATCTGGACGGCATACTGATTTACAGCCCCAACAGGACACATCACTTACAGGACATCGAAGCAGTTTTTAAGATACTGAGTGAGAACCGCCTACTCACAAAAGCGTCTAAGTGCGAGTTTTTACAGGACCGACAGGAATTTTCGGGACACATCATTTCAGCTGTAGGAGTGGAAATAGACCCAAAAAAATCGCGACGATTCAAGCATGGCACGCGCCGACCAATTTGACCGAGTTGCAGAGTTTTTTGGGGTTCGTCAACTACGTGCGCCGGTTCGTCCCCGACATGGCGAAGTTGACTGCCCCGTTGACGGACCTGCTGAGGAAGGGGGTCAAGTAAACGTGGGGGTAGAAAGAGCAAGCTGCCTTCTCGGCCCTCAAAAATATTTTGTGCTCGCCGCTCGTGCTTCACATCGCAGATCGGCACCGTCCGTTCGAACTCGTCACCGATGCTAGCGACATCGCTGTGGGAGCAGTACTATCGCAGGACTTTGGGAACGGCCTTCAGCCAATCGCGTACGAGTCCCGCAAGCTTCACCCGCCCGAACGCAACTACCCGATACACGACCGCAAGATGCTGGCGATCGTGCACGCGTTCAAGGTGTGGCGTTGTTACCTCACGGGAGAAGACGTGACAGTATGGAATGACCACCGATTACTACATTACCTTTGCGCCCAACCGAATCCCAACCCACGACAGATCCGCTGGTTGGACTATCTGGAGTTCAACTTCCATTACACGGTCACGTACAAAAAAGGCGCATCCAACATCGCCGACGCACTCACACGCCCAAACGCCCAACTCCACGCCATCCTACTCGCCCAAACCAACCGACTGTTAACAGGCCTTTTCACCCACGGATACAGTACCGACCCATTTTTCGCGACCGGAAATTCACAGCAACTGGCAGAGGCCAAAGGAGTCTGTTACGTAAAAACAAGCACCAACCGCATCTGGGTACCCGCGTACTCACTACTGCAGAAGGCACACGACGGGATTACCTCGGGACATTTCGAGGTGGAAAAATTGCGACAGCTGTCAAACTTATATACTATAGTCTGTGTAGGCTGTAGTGGGGTAGACTATATGGGGTACAACATTTCTAGGTTTTCCTACTTGTACCCACCTGCTTGCTAGTTCATTTATTCCTCATTCTTCACATGGTATAGAGCAGGTTCCCTCGTGGGAACGCTTCTCAGGGCCCACCACCTAACTCGATCCTTCTTTCCTACCCGAGGTGCGCCTCGTAGGCCGCCCTCACGTCGCGCCCTCCTAGAGGCCCCTCGCGCCACCCTTAGCGGCCCCGTCGCCGTCCTTAGCGACCCTGTCGCCGCCCCTCTAGGCCCCTCGCGGCCCCTTCACGGCGCCCTCGCCGCCGCTCTAGGCCCCGTCGACGCCCATATAGGCCCCTCGCGGCCCCGTCGCCGCCCCTAGCGGCCCCGTCGCCGCCCCTCTAGGCCCCTCGTGGCCCCTTCGCGGCCCCGTCGCCGCCAATCTAGGCCCTGTCGCCGCCCCTCTAGGCCCCTCGCGGCCCCTTCGCGGCCCCGTCGCCGCCACTTACGGCCCCGTAGCCGCCCCCTCTAGGCCCCTTACGGCTCCTTCGCGGCCTCGTCGCCGCCCCTCTAGGCCCCTTGCGGCCCCTCTGCGGCCCCGTCGCCGCCCGTGGAGGCCCCGTCGCCGCCCTTCGCGGCCACCTCGCCGCCCTTAGTGGCCCCATCGCAGCCCCTAGCGGCCCCATTGCCGCCTCTACCGGCCCCGTCGCCGCCTCTACCGGCCCCGTCGCCGCCTCTACCGGCCCCTTCACTGACGAGCCGCCCAGCAGCCGGGCAGCCCAACAGCCGAGCCGCCCAGCACCCGAGCCGCCGAGCCGCCGAGCCGCCGAGCAACCGAACCGCCGAGCCGCCCAGCAGCCGAGCTGCCCAGCCGCCCAACAGCCAAGCCGCCGAGCCGCCGAGCCGCCCAGCAGCCGAGCCGCCAAGCCGCCGAGCTGCCCAGCAACCGAGCCGCCGAGCCGCCGAGCAGCCGAGCCGCCGAGCCGCCCTACCGTCGAGCCGCTACTGTTCCTACCGGCGCGCCCCGGCCCTACTTACTCGGACTGGTGAGATCACTCCCTGCTAGACCACTGCAGTCATGGCTACCCCCAGTGTCCTTACCTTTGATGCTGAGGGTCGTGCTGTTGACTTTGAGGTCAGGGTCGATGACCTCCAGCTGTTCCTACAGTGCGATAGGGCAGACGGACTCTCCCTGTTCGATCTCACCTCTGGTGCCTCTCCTGCCCCGCCTGCTACTGCTGACAGCACTATTCGCTCCCAGTGGGCCACACGCGATGCTGCTGCCCGTCTTGCTGTGCGTCGCCACTTACCGACCACTGGGCGTGCGCACTTTAGCCAGTACAAGAGTGCTAAGACCTTGTACGACGCTGTAGTTGCACGCTACTCTTCCCCTGCCACTGCTGCGCTTAGCCGCCTCATGCTGCCGTACCTGTTCCCTGACCTTGCTGCCTTTCCCACAGTCGCTGACCTCATTACGCACCTTCGCACTAGCGACACTCGCTACCGCGCTGCGCTTCCTGCTGAGTTCTGTGCCAAGAACCCCCCCCCCCCATGTACATCACCCTCTACTACATAGTCACCCGGCTCCCTGACTCCCTTCGCTTAGTCAGGGACCACTTCCTCTCAGTTTGCCACACAACAATACCCGTTGACCTCCTCGAGGAGCGCCTCCTAGCAGCAGAGAAGAGCATAGTCGATGAAGGAGCCTCTCGTGGTGACCCTCGCACCCCCGTCTTTGAAGGGTGTTCCCCCTCCCCCCTCTTGCCCTCTGTTGCTTTTATTGCTGCGGCCGACCTCGTTGGTTTTGAGTCGGTCGGCGCTGCGTCTGCCCCTAGCGGGAGACGCCGGACCGGCAAGGGCAAGGGGGGCAAGGGCGTTGGAGGGGCTGGCGGGGGCGGTGGAGGTGGTGGTGGAGGCAGTGGAGGGGGTGGGGGTGGTGGTGGGAGTGGTGGCGGGGGTGGAGGTGTCGGTGGCAGTAGTGGAGGCGGAGGAGGCGGCGGCGGTGGCGGAGGGAGCGGAGGCGGCGGAGGTGGCGGAGGCGGGGGAGGTGGCGGAGGCGGCGGAGGCAGCGATGGAGCTGGTCGCAGCTCTGCGCAGAGGAGTGGCTCCGGTGGTGGTCCGCGCCAGCAGCAGCAGCGCAGTCGTGAGACCCCGTCCCCCCAGCAGCTTCGTGAGTGGTACGCCGGGCGTCAGCGAGGTGGGGGTACTGGTCCCTGCACCTACGTCCTCCGTACCGGCGACCGCGCTGGTGAGCAGTGCGGGGGCCCGCACTCCACCCAGCGCTGCTTCGGCCGCCAAACGGACGCGTGGCGTCACCAGTTCCTTGACGCCACTAAGATCCCTCACTAGGGAGAGCTGTCTAGGGCGGGGGTTGCTATCTTTGATCTTGATTATGATGCTATTCTTGCTGCCATGTATGCTGTGTCTACTAGTAATGAGGGTGCGAGTCAGCGAGTGACCCACTGTACGTGTGCTCAGACGGGCCGACACTTGGCCACATTTACCCGTCGGCCAGGGTCAAGCCTGTATACACTGACTACTGAGTCTCCTCCTGTTGCTGAGTCTGGTCAGGTAGCTGCGTCGAGTCAGGTGTTTGCTGCAGCGTCCAGGTCTGGTCCTGAGACTGCGCCCTACTCGTGTCGTCTCCTGTCCCACCAGACTCTCCTTTGGCACCACCGCCTTGGTCACCCCTCCCCGCCTCGTCTCTGAGGCATGGCCTCACGTGTCCTGGTCCTTGGTCTTCCCCGGTCCCTACCTCCCCTACCTCCGGGGCCTGCCCCTACCTGCGTCCCCTGCGTCGAGGGGCGACAGCGCGCCGCCCCTCACTCCTCCGAGTTTCCTCCGACAGAGGCTCCGCTTCAGACTCTTCACATGGACGTGTGGGGCCCCACACGCGTCCGTGGCCAGGTTCACGAGCGTTACTTCCTGTTGGTGGTTGACGACTACTCGCGCTACACCACAGTGTTCCCCTTGCGCAGTAAGGGTGACGTCACTGAGGTGTTGATCGACTGGATCCGCGCAGCTCGTCTCCACCTCAGAGAGAGTTTCGGCTCGGACTTTCCTGTTCTGCGTCTGCACTCTGACAGAGGCGGGGAGTTTTCCTCTGCCCGTCTGGGAGCCTTCTGTCGTGCACAGGGCATTCGCCAGACCTTCACGCTTCCGACCTCTCCACAGCAAAATGGGATTGCCGAGCGCCTCATTGGCATGGTGATGGACGTCGCTCGTACGTCCATGATCCATGCGGCTGCCCCCCATTTTCTGTGGCCGTTTGCGGTTCAGTACGCAGCGCATCAGCTGAACCTTCAGCCCCGGGTCTCCTTGCCAGAGACCTCCCCCACCTTGCGGTGGACGGGGAAGGTTGGCGATACGTCTGCGTTTCGGGTCTGGGGATTTCGGGCGTTTGTCCGCGACTTGTCTGCGGACAAGCTGTCCCCCCGTGCTGTTCCCTGCGTCTTCCTTGGCTTCCCCCCTGACGCGCCTGGGTGGCAGTTTTACCACCCCACCTCGCGCCGTGTTCTGTCCTCCCAAGACGTCACCTTCGACGAGTCGGTGCCTTACTACCGTCTCTTCCCCTACCGCACTGCGCCCCTCCCCCCGCCGCCGCTCTTCCTTGCGCCAGGTCCTCCCCCGGTAGACCCCCTCCCCCGTCAAGCACCTGCCCCGTCAGGTGTGTCCCAGGTAGACGCAGTCGAGCCTGTCGAGGTAGTTGTTGACTCTGGTGCTGCTAGAGGTACTGAGCCTGGGGGTGCGGAGCCTGGGGGTGCTGAGTCCGGGGGTGCGGAGCCTGGGGGTGCTGAGTCTCGGGGTGCTGAGCCTGGGGGTGCGAAGCCTGGGGGTGCTGGGTCTGCTCGTGTGGCCTCTCGCGGTGCTTCGTCGAGACGGGAGCTACTCTCTCCGCAGGAGCTGCGCGAGTGGTTTGCACGGCGCTGGAGCCGTGCTGCTGGAGCTGGAGGTACTACTGTTCCTGCTGGTCCCGGAGGTGCTCGTACTGGCGGTACTGGAGCTGCTGGGACTGGGGGTGCTGCTGGGGCTGCTGGAGCTGACGGTCCTACTGGAGTTGGTGCTGCTAGAGCTGCTGGAGCTGGTGCTGCTGGAGCTGCTGGAGCTGGTCCTGCTGGAGGTACTGCTGGAGCTGCTGGCGGTACTGGAGCTGCCGGTCCTGCTGAAGCTGGTGCTATTGGAGCTGCTGGAGCTGGAGCTGCTTGGGGTGTTGGCGCTGGTGGTTCTGCTAGCGCTGGTGCGTCTGAGGGTGCTGGAGTTGGCGCTGTTGGAGCTGGAGGTGCTGCTGGCGCTGGTGCTGCCGCTGGGGGTACTGGTGCTGCTACGGGTGCTGAACGTGCGGGTGCCAGGTCAGGGGGTGCTGAGCCTGGGGGTGCGGAGCCTGGGGGTGCGGAGCCTAGGGGTGCTGGGTCTGCTCGTGTGGCCTGTGGCGGTGCTTCGTCGAGTTAGGAGCTACCCTCTCCGCAGGAGCTGCGCTAGTGGTTTGCCCGGCGCTGGAGCTGTGCTGCTGGAGCTGGAGGTGCTACTATTGCTGCTGGTCCTGGAGGTGCTCGTACTGGCGGTACAGGAGCTGCTGGGACTGGGGGTGCTGCTGGGGCTGCTGGAGCTGACGGTCCTACTGGAGTTGGTGCTGCTGGAGCTGCTGGAGTTGGTGCTGCTGGAGCTGCTGGAGCTGGAGCTGCTGGAGCTAGAGCTGCTGGGGGTGTTGGCGCTGGAGGTGCTGCTGGCGCTAATGCTTCTGAGGGTGCTGGAGTTGGCGCTGTTGGAGCTGGAGGTGCTCCTGGCACTGGTGCTGCCGGTGGGGGTACTGGTGTTGTCCCTGCTGGTTCTGAAGGCGCTGCGCGGCCGCAGCCGTACTTCGTTCCGCTCCTTGAGCAGGTTCTTGGTCTACCGCCCTCTACTGGTCCTGCTCCTCCCTTAGAGTGTCCACAGCCTGTCCAGTCGCGGTCACAGTTACAGCCCGCCTCCCCCCTACCTGCTCCTTCTCCCTACACTGGTCCCACTGGAGGTCTTGCTGAGCGTCGTGAGCCTGCGTCTCGTCCTGTGTTGCCTGTTCGTGCTGCTCGCACTAGTGGTCGGGCTCCGCGTCTGCGTCCTCCTGCGGTCCCAGGCACACACCAGATGGCACTGCGTCCTTCCACTGCTCCTCTGCGTGTCCCGTTGCTGTCTCCTCTAGAGTCCTCTCTTCCTGTTCTTGCTGATCCGCAGTTTGACTCTCTTCGTGCTGCCAGTCCTACTGTCACGCGTCTCCTGGCTACTATTGTCACTGACCCTTCCTTTGAGTCCACTGCTGCGTCTGCCTTAGTTGTTGAGCTTGTCGACTTTGCTGCTCGCTGTCGTCTAGACTACGCTGCTAGTCTCGTTGCTGAGTCTGAGTCTATCTGTCCTCCGTCCGTCGGGGGTGAGTGTGCTCTTAGCACGGACGTCCTTGAGGACAAGCAGGAGGAGTTCCAGTGTTTTGCTGCTGCTTTTCCTCATCTTGTGTCCATGCTGATTGCCCCTGAGGGAGACCCGGATGCACTTGACATCCCGACTCCTCGATCGTACGCTGAGGCGATCAAGGGTCCCTACTCCTCTCAGTGGCAGTCAGCCATGGACGCAGAGATGGCTTCCTGGAAGTCCACAGGCACTTACGTCGACGAGGTTCCCCCAACTGGGGCGAACATCGTCAATGGCATGTGGATCTTCAGGGTGAAGCGGCCGCCGGGTTCTCCGCCTGTCTTCAAGGCGCGTTACGTGGCTCGAGGCTTCAGTCAGCGGCAGGGAGTTGACTACTTTCAGATCTTCTCTCCCACCCCGAAGATGACCACTCTTCGGGTGCTGCTGCACATAACCGCTCAGCGTGAATACGAGCTTCACTCTCTTGACTTCAGCACAGCTTTACCGCAGGGCAGCCTGCACGAGGAGATCTGGCTGCGCCGCCCACCTGGCTTCACTGGGTCGTTTCCTCCAGGTACCCAGTGGAGCCTCCGGCGGCCAGTCTATGGTCTCCGCCAGGCGCCCCGTGAGTGGCATGACACAATGAGGACTACACTTGCGGCTCTTGGGTTTGCTCCTTCTACTGCCGACCCGTCGCTGTTTCTGCGCACCGACACCTCTTTGCCGCCGTTCTACATCCTCGTGTACGTCGACGACCTAGTCTTTGCCACTGCTGACACTGCTGGAGTCGCCCACGTGAAGTCCGAGCTGCAGAAGAGACACACGTGCACAGACCTGGGTGAACTGCGCAGCTACCTTGGCTTGCAGATCACCCGGGACAGAGCACAATGCACCATTACCCTGACTCAGTCACACATGGTGCAGTAGGTCCTTCAGCGCTTCGACTTCACGTACTCCTCGCCTCAGGCCACTCCTCTGTCTACTCGCCACTCGCTCTCAGCTCTGCCTTCGGATGAGTCCGTAGAGTCGTGTGGCCCGTATCCAGAGCTTGTTGGCTGCCTCATGTATCTGATGACCTGCACACGACCTGACCTTGCATACCCTCTTAGCATCTTGGCACGCTATGTTGCTCCTGGGAGACACCGACCAGAGCACATGGCTGCAGCGAAGAGGGTGTTGCGCTACTTGTGCAGTACGTCGGGCATGGGGCTAGTGCTTGGAGGGCGACGTCCAGTGGTCCTCATAGGTCACGCAGACGCTTCTTGCGCTGACGACCAGGCTACGCAGCGGTCGTCACAGGGTTTTACCTTCAGCCTTGGTTCCGGCTCTGTTTCGTGGCGGTCTACCCGTTCGTCTTCTGTTCTTGGCTCCAGCTATGAGGCTGAGATCTACGCAGGGGCCATGGCTGCATAGGAGCTACGTGGCTCACCTACTTGCTGACTGGCCTAGGAGTGCCGCCTCGTTCTCCTCCAGTTCTGTACGTAGACAACAAGGCCATGCTGGCCTTGTGTTGGGAGCACAGACTGGAGCACAGAACGAAGCACATTGCTCTTCGCTACTTCCTTGCTCGTGAGCTGCAGCAGCGTGGTCAGCTGCGCCTTGCTTACGTGGCCTCTGAGGCCAACACTGCTGATATCTTTACCAAGGCACTTCCGCCTGGTGATCATCAGCGCTTCTGTACGATGCTAGGTCTTGTGCCTACTTGGCCTCACTTGCTCACTTCTTGACCTTGCTTGTACTGTGATCTTTCTATACCTGCACTTGCCTGTTTACCTTTATATATGATCTTGCATGTGAACTGGCCTTTTGGCCTTGCTCTTGTGCTTGGATTGTGTGGTGACGTTGTGATCCACCCTGAGCTTGCTTTGCTTTGCTTGACTGGTCTTGTGACCTCCTGTTCTCCCCCACTTTGCCTATGGGGGTGTGTCAAAGTTTTATACTATAGTCTCTGTAGGCTGTAGTGGGGTGGA